AAAATTCCCATTTTGCCCTTTGTGTCTGGTAGAATTACAAGGATGACACGGGGACATATGGACCTATAATTCTGAGCTCCAATGAAATTAATAATTAATTAAACACTTTAATTAATTAATTAATTCTATTAATTCTAATAGTTACTCCACTATAAACTTGGAATTGCACTCTCGAAATTATAGACATAAATTACTTCTAAACTGTGAAGTGTCCATTTGATATAGTCATTGCATATAGATCAATCCTCCATAAATAATTCATAATTAGAGTAAGGTAAAATCCGTTAACCTCTCTAATTACTTCTTTATCCTTGAGTACCATTGATTCTCTAATGGACAGTGATTCATAAAACACATTCATGAATCGGAGCTCCTACTGGTCCAAGTACCGAATCAACCATCAAGAGAATTATTTATCTACTTCTTTCTTAAGAAGGAATGGATTCTATCTCGTGTAATAACATTCCCGGCTACCTACTTCATCATGTCTCCAAAATACAAGGAATAGGATTCAGGATCTCAGAATCCGTACCGAGTAAATCAAAAGACACAAATCCATAAATAGGAGTCTGTTAAGAACTCAGGATTAAGATCATCCTATATATGACCATCGGTAGACTCAATTAGAATTTCTATACTTAACGAAATTATTAGAAATTCATATTGTGTCTGTGTCCTTGTTCCACATAATCTCATTATGCGAAATACACTCATTCAATATCTCACCATATTAACAGTGCGGATAACACCGTTCCATTCTAAATGGGAATGACATGTATAAATAATGTTTTAATTAAAGATTTCAAACTTTAATTAAATTCATTATGAACATTGCTTTTTGATTATTATCCTTAAACATTATCCTCTCGTATATAACACTTATATACAATGTTTAAGGTTACATAAATAACCATGGAATTTTATTGATATTCATAAAATATTCATAAATATATGCACATAAAATAATGAATAAACTCTTTTATTAAATAAATAATAAATATCTTATTACATCTTATACTTCTAGGACACCATTTCCAACAGGAATAATGTTTAAACTTTACATCATTAGAAATAAGGTTTTTGAAAATTGTGTGTGAAAACGATTAACGAAGAAAGAAGGTTTAGCATTTTCCCTTTGAGAAAATTTTAAATTTAACAATTATTTTTTTTAACTCTATTATTTATGTCACTATATAAAATTGTGACGTTACTATAAAAATTAACCTACAAGATATGAAATAATAATCTACAAATTACAAAAAAATAACTTGCAAGATAACATGCATGTTATTAATAGTATAAATTAAATTTAATAATAATGATAGAAATAAAATAGTATATGCCATTTCTGAAAATTCCCTTTCTATGTCAACATGTACGTCACTCATGACTGGAACGTCTGCACTTCAAACGTGTGCACCGTATATATTTCAATATTAACTATCAATTATATACCATTTCTGCTATCATATGTTTTCCTATAAGTTTATAAGCGAAAAATAAAAAATAAAGACCATTTGGACAAAAAGCCTTGAACTTATAATTAAGGATTAATTTTGCTTTAATTACTGGCTTAAGTTGCGCCTATATATCATGTAACATATTTATGAAATATGATCATGCATGTATTCCATCATTTCTTAATCAAATTTTTTCATTAGTTAGTTTATTAAACGTAATGATGTTCCAATTCTTTATAGGGTGTGATTTTAGAAAAGAATCGAAGCTTCTGTGGCAGCTAGGTTCATTTATCTTGCTGGTGGCGTTAAGGATTACTGCTCAAATTTGAAGCTCAAAGAGAGATAATTTTGGCACGACAAGAAAGAATTTCCCAGTGTGGGGCTTAATTTCTAAGAACACACAACTTATCAAGGCCAAAAATCCACGCGTGGATCGATGAGGAAGAACTTGATGAGAAGATTCTGCGAAGCCTAATTGACGCAATTTTCATCGAGGAAAATGCTCCTTATTTATTGCTGAAGTAGATATATTTTGCTTTATGTTGGGTTTAGAATAATGATTCGTGTCATGGTTTGTGGTTCGTTATAATATTTTCTCTTACAAAAAATACACATAAATTGAGAATGATTTTGAATCATGATTCTGAATTTATGAACCAAACGTTCATTTAATATTTGACAAACCGAAAGCAAAAGGTTCAAAGTTCAAACCTTTTAGCCTTGAGATTTATGTATGTACAAGTTTTAGTTAGTCCATGTTAATGAGTGGATATTTCGTATTTGTTAGTTTACTGATGTCCCGAAAACTTGACTTGTTAGATGTTCATTGATACAACGCTAAGATCAGTGACGGAGTTAGGATTTATTGATAAAAGGGGTTAATTTTTTTTTATTTTATCAAGATTATACTAATATGTATGTATGCAAATGGTTAGCCTAATAAAATGTAAAGAACTATTAAATTAAATGAGACTAAATCTAATTTATACACATATCTACTATATTAAAATTAAAACTACTATATTAAAAAATAAAAAAAAACAAAAAACAAAAAAGCTACCCCGACCACCGATGGGGCTTGTAGAGTAGTTATTCTAGCAAACTCCTCGTATAATATTTTCCTCGATCCTTTCTAATAGTTTGTCTTAAAAAAATTAAAGAATAAAAAATTATAGTTGAAAATCAAGATAAGAATACCAATACTTATACTTAAACTGGCAGACAATACCAATACTCAATCCATTAGACACGTCACCACGCTCAACAAGGTTGGTTTTGTGCGTACATAAACATGCATAACGAGAAAAAAAAAATGAGGTCACTTTATACGAATTACGAATATGAATAATTGAGAAAAAAAAAATGAGTTTCTTGTACTTCATAGGACCCTAATCCCAGACTTCATAATAGGAGTGCTCAAAATTCCAGTGTTCATTAGGCCCCGTTCACTTCGCCAATTCGAGTTTAAAATTCGAGTTTTGCTACAGTAAAAAGCTCTCAGAAACAGTCACATCTAACTTTTTTGCTACAGTAAAAAGCTCTCACATAACATCACATCTTAACTCGAATTAAAAACTCGAATCAGCGAACTAAACAGATATGCATGTTATTTTGACACAAAAATGGTAATTAACACATTTTGGTAACCGAATATCATTATGCTATGTTCTCCTTTCAACACCTACCTGAAAAAAATGACAAAAACCGAAACACACTAATAGAATGAGGTAAATTAAAACGCTTTAACAATCACGAACTAAAGTGATAGATTTAAAGTAAAATTCGGGGACCATCTCTAGGATTAATCCTAAATTTGTTTAAGTTTATGAAAAGATATTCTTCTTTTTTCCTAGTTATTGTTCTTTTTTTTCCGTTTCTTAAGGAGTTTTTTTTTTTATTGGAAAATAATTTTAAGGAAAAGTTTTTGCACTCTCTCCCTTTTTTTTTTTGTTTTACAATTTTTTATAAGGAGTTTTTCTAGTAGGTCATACCTGCATGTAATACTTATTTCTACTTATTAGATCATATTAAAATTACACCAGATTAAAAAAATATACATAATAGATAAACTAATATATAATTCGGTCCTTTTTCGTTTGTCCTTGAATAGAAAATCAAATCAAGGAATCAAGTTACATCTCTAAAAATATGCACTAGTTGTCTATGGAAACGAGATGTCACTTAAACATCTCTTTTTCAGAGACAAAAAAAGTGTTCTACAACATTCTTATAACGTCACATTTGTGATGTCTCACGGCACTCCAATTCTCCAACCACGCACAATAATAAAATAACGGGGGTCTCAATAAGTACACAAGATCATGAACTCATGTTCAATAAATTATATTTATCAACATCTTCTAATAAGTTAAATGAAAACAATCACAACACGATACAGACTCAGACTTGGTATTACACATGGTTTTCTATCCAAATTTGTGCTTAATTTACCAGCATTAGTAATTAACAATCAAAACTAAATAACTTGTAGGGGTGTTTAAAATAAATGATCTAATTGACTCGACCGAAAAACCGACAGCATTTAAACCGAATCGAGTGAAACTTTGAGATTTAGTTCTGTTCAGTTGAAACCGAACCCAACACGCTTAACCACTGCACCACTGCATCAATTAATAAGAATCATTAAAGGAAATCTAAACAAACTCCAAACCAACAACTGGACCGAATTCTTGTATCCCCTCACGTCATACACTACTCAATGCATCATACTCTTTACTATTTTCTAAACGCAATGAAATGCATCATCCTTTATACTACTCAATGCTTCATACTTTAGAAATTTTTTTCTAAACCCAATGAAAAAAGTAAGACAACGTGCCAGGTCTATATCTATATAATAAATACACGGGAAATAGTAGAAAATATGCCAATATAAAAAGCTTAAGAAAGTATATAGGCCAATTTTTAATTATATAAATTAATAGGCCATAATTTGTCAAGTTATGGTTCATAACCAGATAAGTTATGGACAATTATGGACAATAACTTATCGAGTTATGGTTCATAACCAGATAAGTTATGGACAATTATGGACAATAACTTATCAAGTTATGGTTCATAACCAGACAAGTTATGAACGAAAACAGTAATTTGGCCTATTTATTAACTTATGTAAACTATTGGCCTATTAATTTTAATTCATATCAAGTCTTGGCCTATTTCCCTCTTTCATACATTAATAGATAATCAATTTAGTACATTAATAGAGAATCAATGTTTTTCTCTCCTGCTCAGTTAAACTCTAAGAGATTTGTATTGAGGAACATGTTTGTAGATGAGTTATCTTAATCGGCTGATGAAAAAATTGATCTTTTTCCCGATCTCCCATATCAATTGTTGTCATCGCCATCTCCTTCTATCTTGCACCACACCATACCATTATCAGACCAAATCAAACAAAATTAAGCCTTGTTCTTTTCACAACCCAAGTTGTATTATTATAGTGTTTTCTCTTATAAAAATTTAAATTTAACTTTTTTATTACAGTATTAATCTCTCACATACACAACTTAAAGTTCTTAACTTAAGTTATAAAACAAATACACCCATCACCAAACAAATTATAAATTCGCAAATTACAGACCTCCAATTGTAGATCTTGATTGGTGGATTAAGGAAAGAAGATGAGAGCCATTAGAGGAGGAAGATGCCTATGTTGGGAATTATATATTGTGAAACCCTAATTACCTGGCAAGCCCCAATTTGCTATATTATAATTATATTTTGGTCCCTGTACTTTATAGAAATCATAGATTGATACTTCCAATGTACTTTCTTTTATACGGGCACCAAATAATTGCTTCACAAAAATAGTTTGGGAATGGGAAGTAAAATATTACTGTTAAATTTTTATAAGTGCGTTTAGAATTCGTTTTAAAATAATTTTTTTTTATAAAAATGAAAATGAAAATATTTTTAATATGAGACAGAAATTACTTTTAAAAATATATTTAGTAATTTTATCAAGAGATTATTTTTATTATAAAAAAACTCATTAATATCTCTCTCTGCTTGAGAGATGAGAAAATAAAAATAAAAAATAAAAAAATGACTATAAATGAATCACGTACATAATAAACTGCTATAACGATAACCATTTCAAACACGGCATATATATAAAAATATATATATATATATATATATATATATCTCTCTCTCTCTCTCTTTTTCTTACTCTCCTCATCTCCACTCTTTTTGGAATTTTCTTTGGGCGCGCTCTCTCTTTCATTTCTCTCTGAAACAAGTTAAACGATCAAATTTAATCCATATCATTTTCCTTAAAATATTAAAAAAATAATAAAAAAAAGCTCTGCAACCTCCAATCCTCTGATCTCATTATTATCCCATCGAAATGGAAAGCTCTGTAAGTGTCTCTTTCTGTCTCTCTTTCAACTTCTGCGATTTGGTTTCTTTTCAGATTCGTATTGAAGATCTTTTCTGATGATGAGCAAAAGCTCATTTCTTTTTGTTAAAGATCACTGCTTTACGTGACTATGACTAAATCAATCCTCTGTTTTCCTAGAAACTGTGAGCAAAATGATGAGATTTTGTAAAACCGAATGAAAATCCCTAGACTCTCGTCGCATTCTATTACGAGATCCCTCAAATTCCACATTTTCTCTCTAACCAAACACCGATTGGATAAATTGCGATTTTAATTAATAATTACTTTTCTGTTATCATCTTTGGTTGTGAATATCTGCATTGTTTCAATTTCCCGATTATAGATCCGTAAAAAAAAAAAAGTTGAAACACTACCATGAGAAATTCATATTAAGACAACGGCATAAACATTTTACCAATATTTCCTAAAAAAGGAAATGTTAACTTGGCAAATAAATCCTTAAAATGGGGTTTAGGATAGTTCTGATGATAGTTTAGGGTAGGAAGACAGTGACGGAGCCAGAAATTTTGGTAAAATAGTAATAATAATAAGATTATAGGAGTAAATTTTTTTTGTTTTTATTGGTTCTATTTGTGCTTAGTTTTGCAAAATTGAACCTTAAAAAGTTTCATTTTTTTCCCTCAAAGGATTTGAGTCCTTCTGTGAAGAACATTCTTCTATTAGACTCTGAGGGGAAGCGTGTGGCTGTAAGGTATTACTCAGATGAGTGGCCAACAAACAGTGCAAAATTAGCATTTGAAAAATCTGTCTTCACCAAGACCCTCAAGTCAAATCCTCGTACCGAAGGTATGCTTTCCTTCGATCTTATTCAAGTAACCCAACTGATTACTGTTATAAGACATGAAGGATTTGACTTTAAAAAATGAAAATTCCTTTTGTTATTGCCTTTATGCCTCCTACTTTGGAAAGGTGATGAAGCTTTAACTATTTCAGCTGAGCATATGAGAAATTTTTTGTCTTCATTTTTTCCAAGATTAAGCTATGCTAGATAATTTCACCTGCATTATTTACAAAACATTATTTTTTTTAATCTGCAGCGGAGATAGCAATGTTCAACAACAACATTGTCATTTACAAGTTTGTCCAGGACCTTCACTTCTTTGTGACTGGAGGTGATGATGAAAATGAACTCATTTTAGCCACAGTTCTTCAGGGGTTCTTTGATGCGGTTTCCCTCATCTTGAGGTGCTCCTACCAGTTATTGTTTTTGTCTTCGTTATTTTTTCTTTCCCGATGTTGTTGTTGCTGTTGATGTCTGATCTACGGTTACTTGTTTCCTGATATGGTGCCATAATTCCTTGTGTAGGAACACTGTTGACAAAAGGGAGGCGCTTGAGAACTTGGATCTCATACTTTTGTGCCTTGATGAGATTGTTGATGGAGGGTAAGTACTTGTAAGATATCTATAGTTATGTGCATGAGCTTGCGATGATTGAGTCTAAATCGACCTGCTAAACGAAACCTTGGTATCAACTACGATAGGTTCTTCTTTATGGAGGATTCTTCCCTGCAAATATCAATGTTCTGAATCCGTTTGATTTTGATTTTGCAGGATGATACTCGAAACAGATCCAAATTTGATTGCAGGAAAAGTTGCAAGCCATAGCATGGATGCTGATGCAACCTTATCTGAACAGGTAATGCCAGACGAATCTATCTCTCTCTAATGTTTGGTTCACTTGAAAGTTTGAAACAATTCAATCTACTGATTGTTGATCCGTATTTCAAAAAACGAAGAAAAATGTCCATGAATTGCCACATGGTGTAATCAAATACTGAATTTGACATTAAAGTTTGAGATACCAATTGGGAGCACTACCCCTCGTATGCCATATTTTTACGAACTTGTGTGCAATAAACCACTGCTGTGCGAGCTCCTATTATGCTCTCAAATCTTACTCTTAGACTTCTTTAAAATCCATTTCGTGGTTTCGAATCACAATTTGAACTTTTTTTTTTAACAGCTTTTGAACAAAACTTTTCGAACCTGTGAACCCGAACACACACTTATCTTTAATTTAATCCCAATTGTTCTTTTCTAATGTTGCAGACTATAACTCAAGCATGGGCTACAGCAAGGGAACATTTGTCCAGAACTCTCCTTCAATGAGTTTATATCAAGCAAAACTCCAAATAATTGAACTTTTTCTTTTTGTTATGGTACTTTTCTCCTTTTTCTTTGAAGGATCTCTTTAGTGTTCTCCTTTTATACTATTCTTGGGCTCACTTTCTGATGGGCCTACATGTTTTCTTCCATTGGGCTTTTGGGCCCTGTTGGGCCACGGGCATAAAGATCTTGAGAATCTGCTCCAATAATTAAAATTCATTCTTGTCCTGTCACAGTGTCACTCATGATTTTATTCTTTATTTTTTACCATATAATAGAGCATGGTAAGCTGTCTTTTTCATTACCTTCATTTTCTTATGTTTGGACACTCTGGTTGTAATGCTCAAATATTTAAATAAAGACTCAACTTTTGCTTTTTGTCTTGAGTATTTAAGGGGACAAGGGAATGACTTTCTTCCTTGCCCTTGGACACCTTTAAAAAAAAAAAAAAAAAGTAAAAAAATTATTCAAATATGCCCACACGCAAAGCGCAAATCATAGGCTTCTTTTACTCCACCAATCAAGAAACAACTGCAGTCCATAACATCTCCAAGTGCCCAACAAGCCAACAATTATTGATGAGGAGAAAATAATTTTATTGGATAATTGTAGATAACTACGATGGACTTTTGGGTTTTTAATGCTTGGCATTTGGCATAAATTAAAAGTAAACAAAGGTTTAATTATGTCCAATAAATATAGTTCTGGTGTCTTTTCTTTTTTTTTTTTTTTTTTTTGGTTTTCTTGTGGATCCTTTTCATTAATTTAAAAACTAAGGGCTTATTCTTTTAGAGTTTAACTTGAGTATAATTCTTGAGTTGAATTTGAGTTATAACTTGAGTTTGTGTTTGATTGTGTACATTTGAGTTATGGTTTGAGATAAGAATCTTTTTGAGTTTGTGTTTGAGTGAGTCAAAACTTGAATTTATATTTAGATAGTATTTTAATAAAAACTCAATGTTGATGAAAAATTTTAATAGGGTATATGGATCGGGTTTTATTCGTCTTTTTGTTGTCAACGCATAGAAAAAAAAATCATCTCAATCAGAATTAAAACGAAAAAGTTATAGCATTTTTAATAATAGAAAAATATTATTTATTAATTTGAGTTCGAGTTTCTAAACTCGAGTTGAAGAGGAAATTTGAACTCGAGTTTTAATCCTAAACTCAAGTTTGAACTCAAGTTTAAACTCGAATTTAAACTTAAAAGAATATAAACTCGAATAAAGTTGTAACTCGAGTTATTTTTTTTTAAAATTTTTTACTAAAAGAACGAGTCCTAAGATTTGATTTTAGAATTATAACTAGAGCTTTTGATGAGACATGTCCCACGAAAGAAACGTTTCTTCTAGAGCTGTACATGGTACTTCTGTCTAATTGACATTTCCTTACTGCTTAAGTTTTTATTTGTATATTAATTATGCCAAAAAGCAATATATAGTGAAACAGTGCTAATATATACCGACAAATATTTAGAATTTTTCGGGAAAAAAAATTGGGCTGGGTGATTTATTTACGGGAGAAAGAGAAAAATAGATTAAGATTTGAGATGAATTAAAATTAATAGGTCAATAGCTTATATAAGTTAATAAATAGGTTAAAATATTGTTTTCGTCTATAACTTGTCTGGTTATGAACCATAACTTGACAAGCTATTGTCCATAACTTATCTGGTTATGAACCATAACTTGATAAGTTTGTCCATAACTTATCTGGTTATGAATCATAACTTGACAAGTTGGTCCATAACTTATCTAGTTATAAATCATAACTTGACAAGTTATGGCATATTAATTTTTATAACTAAAAATTAACCTATATATTTTCTTAAACTTTTCATATTGGCTTATTTTCTACCATTTCCGTTTATTTACAACCCTTACTTAAGTAAATGGCCCTTTTTTTTTTCAAAATTAGGCCAATTGTTATTTTTAAAGTCAATCAATTCAGAAAGATCAATTAGAGCCCGTTTGGTTGGAGGATTCGTTCTCTGATTCGAATCATGATTTATGATTCGTTACAATATTTTCTCTCATAAAAAACACACGTAAATCAAAAATGATTTTAATCTCATGGTTCTAATTCATAAACCAAACAGGCTCTTAGTAACAGACTAGACTACGATCAATTATTGATAGACCGCAACTAAACAGTGATAGATTAAAAAAATAAAAAGGTAAAATTCGTGGTTGATAGACAGTAATTAATCAGTCATAAATCACAAGATAAACTGCAATCAATCAGTAATAGTAATAGATCATGGAAAAAAAAAAGGCTCAAACACTTCAGTCATGTACCAAATCAATCAGTAATAGTAATAGATCGTGTACCAAAGGATTACTTCCACATTTTCTTCAATTTAAGAAATCACAAAAAAGTAATATTGTGCGGCTCCAAAGTCCAACGTTGGCATATTTTCTGTCCAAGACCAAGAGCCTATACTCTACTTACACTTGACTTCAGACCTGAGTGAACATGACATTACCGTGCATTTCTGGCAAAATAAGGTTCCCAAATCATAAATTCTTCTAGAATGTCAGGTCGTGCGCACGTGTAGAAAACGGGAAGGTAAAGTCAATAATGCAAATTAACAGTCGTCGACGCTAGTGCTGGAACTTTAGACGGGCCGCCCGCGACCGTTCGAAAAGTCCGAGGATTTACCCGAGCCCGAACCCGACCCGCCCGAGATTTTGAGGCCGCCCGCCCGAGCCCGAATTTCTCCTTGAACGGGCCGCAGGCTTGTATTCGGCCGCCCGAGCTCGCCCGAATTGCCTGAATTTTTTAAACTTTTTTTTTAATATTAAGTTATTTATATATATATTAGTATTACAATTTATATATATATATATATTAAATTTGAAATGAACACACGAACTATATAAAAAAATTATTTCTTTATTAATTTTTAAATTTGTAATTCATGATTGCCTCATTAAAAACCTTACCAAGAAAAACCCAATTGGGATAAAAACTTGGCAAGGAAAAAAGAGTGCAATCATTTTGTGACGAATTACAAATTGTACAAACTTACATTGTTTATTAAATTACAAATACAATGTAAAAAGTAAATACATATTTACAAATTACAAATTTACAATTTAATTTGAAGCTGAGGGATCGTCTTCAAAATTAAATGTTAATCGAT